ACCTTATTTACAAAAACAGGTGAAAACTGCATTTGGCCTGAGAGCCAGTTTGCTGGACCACTGGATTAGATTTTCAAGGTCACTTTCAATTCTGAGGTTATGGTTTTGCCAGATTATCAGAGTTATTCATTCCTCATGAGTTATGGCAAGAGAACTCCTTTCATCCTGAAACCAGAAGTCTCTCTTTGTACATGCAAATGGCCCATCAGGGTATTTTCCTAAACAAAGGCATTTCCCTCAGAAGAGGAATTCTGCTGCTACTGTTAAGATAATAAGTACACCACAGATGGTGCTTTCATTTCAAAAACAACTACAACATAAAAAAGATATAACATTTCTGTTTAATTATTGCATTTGTCTATCCTATGATTTGATGATTTAGTTTGGCAGTGGTGCAAATTAATATTCAAGCTTCTGCTGGAACTCATCTGTTGTTGATTTTGTTGTGGTGGTAGTGATGGTTCTAAACATAGGCAGGAGGCAAGGTGAGAAAAAGATACATCAAACTTCTTATCGATCTCGTTTTGGCAGATTCAAAGAGTTTATATTTAAGCCTAAATTTAAATAAGCATTTTCATATTATCACTGCCAGTTTTAGAGTGTTTCACTGGCACAATAATTGTATTATCCAACTGTATAGGAACTATCAATTAGACGAGGACTGCTTTGAGAAGGAAAGTAGGGCTCCTCTTTGGTTCTTGCTGCTTTGCATTGGGGTCTCATATTGAAGGCTCACAGGCTTCCCCGTGGCCCCTTGACCCACTCAATGTTGAAAAACAAAACCTAAGAAATAGTTGCCAATGTTAAAAGGAGAGTATATGTAGAAACTTACATTTCTCATTTCCTTTGAAAAATCAGATCTTCTAAAGATCTAAGGTTTTTATTTTCACAGGAGAACAATGTGAGGGAGAGCTGCTTTTTGAAAAACTCATTGCTTCTACCACTGTCTTCATCTCCTCACCACAGCGCCTGAGTCAGAGGCCATTTGTCCTCATTATGGTGCCATGATCATGCCAGCTTGCCTCACTCCTGTATCTGCCTGGTCATTTGAGGCATTTGAGTTTGTGGCCTGTGCTGTGCACATTATCCCTGGAGATCTCATCAATTACAATTATTTCCACCTACTGGACTTTAAGTAGTTCTACCTATTGGACATTTTCATTGCAATCTGTCTTCCTAAAGCATACTGCAGGATTGAAGCACAAAGTATGACAGTGCAATTACTCTCAAGAGCATTTTTGTTTATGTTGGTCAGTGTCACTTTTTTAGGTCCCTTATAAGGAAGTACCTTTGAAAAGTTCATGCCAAGAAACTTTTCATTTTCAAAAAGGAAAATATTTTCTTTCTTGAATAATTTTTATAGCATATAGTCTTTCTCTTTTTGTCCTGGCTACCAGAAAGTTCAGAAGTCAGTGTGTCACAATCCTGGTAATATTTCTTCCCTTACTTTTTGTGTTCTGGTTCTCTATAATATTAATACTAACTATTAGCAGGAACACACACATACTCATGTTCTACAAACAACTTTCAGGTTCATCTTGTGAGAGATTAGGGTTGAAAACATCAGTACAGACATATTCTTAACTTTTCGAAATCATCCTCCACACTGACAACAGATTTGTATTTATAAAATACGAATCCGGCCATATTATTATTCCCTTACATATTCAGGAATTCAACATGTCTTCCTCTCACTTATAAGAGATCTAATTTGTTTATTAGAGTGTCCAAGACCCCTTATTACATTTCTCAAACCTATCTTCCCATCCACAGCATTCTCCAATTCTGTCCCACAAAGCCTGTATCTCAGTGATGAACTACTTACAGTTCTCCAAATATACCAGGCCACGTCCCACCTCTTGCCTTTCACAGTACCATTTACTCCCCATATAATCACTCTAGTATTTTATAGATAAGTCACTCATAACAAATATTATATTGTTCTGTCATTTTTCCATGAAATGTACGACTACTCTTATTTATCTTGGTATATTTCGTGCTGAATCCAATATTTTGTGTAAAACTGTTTTCATTGACTAATTGTGTAGCTGACTTTTGATTTGGTGAGATTTTCACAGAATTGAAGTAACTGATCAGGATATATTTTTGACTATAAATAATGAGAAACTTTTAAAGAATAATCATTGAGTGCTTACTGTATACCAAGTTCTCTTCTAAATGTGTAATATGTATTCATTCACTCAATCACCCTAACTGCCTTATTGCCCTATGATTTTTGTCCTCATTTTAGAGATGAGGAAACTGAAGCCCAGAGAGATTGAGTAATTTCCCCAAGAACACACAGCTAGTAAGGAGTGGGGTCAGGGTTGAATCCTGCGTCTTCCTCCACAGGTGATGTTTATCTGCTTTATTGCTTCCCATTTACACGTTGAAAGTGTATCTCTGATGACACCAAATAGCAACTAACCTCAACTTCCATTGGTTATATTGGTTCTACAGGAAACGCTGGGGTTGAGACTTCAATATTGGAGGAACAGATTAACTTCTCAAAAAGTCTTGAGAAAATGTATTAGACAATAACATCTTTGAATGTAACATGTGCATGTGTGTGTGCATTAATTATTTAGCCACAAACAAGAAGGCTGAAAATATACCAGTCTCCACTATCACAAGCAACTGAAGGCAGTAGTTCTCAGTTGTGGAAGACAGAAAGAATCACCTATCTGTGAAGTCACAGGCACAGCTCACAGAAAGGTGCTGTGGAATTGACTTCCTTAGAGTCCTAGGATGCGAACATTTCATCTGAAAAGATGTAGTGTCAGAAGTCCTTAAGGTATCCACCGAGAATAAATTGCTTCCTCTACATCAAGCATCTTCTTCTCTTTCATATTCAACATAGTGGATTCAGAATGGAGACCATACATCCCTAAGTTGCTGATGGTGTTGCAAGCACCATTCACATGTTTTGGACATTAAGGCAGGGATGATCAGAAGGGAATCCTGTGGACCTACGTTTCTGGAGTTTGTAGCAACAGGATGAGCATCAGTGAGCCAGGTTCTGGGCAGAGACACCTGAAGCCCGGGAGGCGGAGCCAGGTTCCTCTGACTTCCACTAAGTTACCCACTAGGTCGGCTCTTACCATCTCACTCATAGCTGATTTTGAGATGGATTTTTAACTAGTAAACAATATGCTTAGATGCCCTGGCCTGTCTCAGTAAAAAGACAAGTGAAATGCTAAAGTCTAATCCTTTTGTTTTAGAAGGTATAGTTTCAACCAATATATTTATTAGTCTCTTGGGGAGAAGCCAGATTTATAGCTTTCCATTTTGTTTTACTCACCATAAATGCATGAACATGTACTGTTTTATCAATCTTTTTTTTTCTGGCGCATGGCCTGGACATTGACTCAGTGAGACTGTCATTTATTAGTGAGAAAACTAATAGGAGGACATTTGGAGATGCAGAACTCAGTGGAAAGCCAGAGCATTTATCTGGATGGGGTCTTATTCTAATCTGAGGTAGCATCATCAAGAAGAAATAAAGATCTCTATAAATTGCTCCAGGAGAGGGCTAAATCTGTCATTTGGCTATTGCAATTTCATCGAATTGATCATTGGAACTGTCATCTTTGTCTTGAAAAGCATCTGCCACTAACAAAGCCTGTTCCCCTTGGAAAACTATTAGCTCTCAGTGAATTAAAGTTATGTAGACACTGAATAAATTGTCTCCTGCATGAGACAGCATTTGATAATTCACACTTTTATGGGAAATATTGAAAGGAAATTTCTACATGACATTAGGTTATGTTCCTAATTACAGTTAGTATAAAGTTTTAGTTTTTAGCCCCTAAGGAATATTTTTCAGAATGGGTATACAACATTTTTAGAAGAAAAACAAGTTATTATTTTCTGCAATAATAAAATCTGTTAAAGAAAAATGAAAACTTTGTGTATATTTTTTAGTCCAGTGGTATTTTTAAAAAGATCAAGGACAGTAAGGATCTATTTTCCATCTATATTTATATACATATAGAATAGCACAGTGTTAGACCTATTTAAAACTAGCTAAGTGTCTTTCATGGTTTATAACCAGACAGGTTGAATTTCAAATTTACTTTTAATAGAGGACTATCAAAAATGCATATGTAGATTGTACCCTTATCAATTTTTTTATTAATGGTGCATGGGATTATATTCATTATTATTCATCCCAAAGTAAGAAGTATATAAAAATCAGCTATGAATATTTCTGACATTAATAATAGTTGTAAAGTAGCAAGCTTTGTGCTGCTCATCAATTAATGTAGTCCATGGCATTGAGCATAGTAGTATTTAACAAACTGCATGCTTTCCAAAAATGCTGGGTGGTTTTTTAGTTGGAGCAGCTCTTGATGTTTATCTTCAAGAGTTCAAGGTTTGGAGCCCCACTGAATTATTTTCAGCTCCTGTCACTATGACCAGCTAACATGACACCTGACCTCATCTTGCTATACAACAATAGCTCTAGTGGCTGGCAAGTAAGCCAGCTGATTGTCATGGTTTTAGTTTGAGGTTTCAGTTTGTTCCTTTGGAAGTAAAATGTATCACCCTACGATTTCAGTGATCCAAGGAACAACTGGCAGCTGTTAAGAGTATCGTATCACTGTTCCTATGGAAACATGTACAATGGATTATAAAATATCTGAAATGTGTATTTTATTTGGTTCACTTTATTGTGAATATCTGATGCTACTTTAATGATCCCTTTCTGATTATACTCTGGTTGAACTGTCTTAAGTTAAATCTTTAGTTTGCTCATGTCTTCTGTTTTCTTATGATATACTTTTGCTTCTGTATATTCTCAATAGTAGCAGATTCTTCTCAATTTATTGTATATTTAAAAAATGTATAGACAATTATTGTGTGCAGGAAGGGGTATATCCGGTCCTCCACGCCAAAGGACTCTTTCACCATGCTGGGAAACGTTCTAGAGAATGAATAGAATGTACAGTGAAGATCAAGTTCCTTCCTCTAACCTTTGTTTCCTTTTCTCTCCACAGGAACTTTTTACCCCTGAATGCAAGTTTAAAGAATCTGTTTTTGAAAATTACTATGTAATCTACTCATCCATGCTGTACAGACAACAGGAATCTGGTAGAGCCTGGTTTTTGGGATTAAATAAGGAAGGGCAAGCTATGAAAGGGAACAGAGTAAAGAAAACCAAACCAGCAGCTCATTTTCTACCCAAGCCATTGGAAGGTGAGTATTATGTATGCATTATTATTACACAGACTTATTACACATTTTATTTTTCAAATTGATAGGTCTACCAAGGCTATAAGAAGCCCTCACAAATGCTGGAAATGTCATTTATTTTGATCTGGGTGATGCTTGCACAGATGCCTACTTAAGTTATTCATTTAAAATTTGTGCCCCTTATATACTTTACCGTATTTGCATATGTATGTGTACCAGGAAAAATTTCTTCTCTGCCACCTCCAGTGTCTCAAATCCTCACTGCTACAGCCACTCTAACTCTTAGATAATTTAATTAATTTAAAACAATTTTAAATATGTAATGATACAAACCTGTGATAAGCGTATTAGAAAAAGATAATATGTATATTAGAAAAAAATAAGTTTTGAGTGTGGAATCAAAAGTGTTTTCCATTTTGATATTATCTAGGTGAAAGTAATTACTTGTGAATTATTATAATTACAGAAAATTAAGAGATAATAGCTTGACTCTTAAAAAACTCGCTGATGTTACACATCTGCTTTCCAATTGCATAGTTCTTCACTGTATACAGTTGTAGCATTACTTCTTTTACTAAAATAATTTATCCACATTCATTTGTGTACAGGAAGGGATATATCTGGTCATCCATGCCAAATGAATAGAAACTTCACATTTACTTCAATCAGATACCCAAAGAGCAGGCTACAAAGTTTTTTTAATTAATCAACAACATCTGCACCTCTCTCATTAATTATTCTGCCAAAAGTGTCATTTACTTTTATCTACGTAACATTTGAGAATTACAAAAATATTTGATTTTAGGCTATTCACATGTGTTTTCTATTCAAGTACTTTTGTTTACTCCTTTGCAGAAGATCAGATCTACAATAACTCAATAAATATTTTAAGCTAGCTTAGACAGCTCATTTTTCTTTTTGTGTTTTATTCCTACAGGAAAGACTTAGCCATCAAGAGAAAATGCATATGGTTTTCATAATACATATTCTCTATATTGAAATAAAAAAATTAAAAAATTTGAACAGTCAATTCTTCATCATCTGTGAGTGTATAATTAAGTTTCAGTTTGCCTAAATTCAGAAAATCACTCTTGTTGGCTAATACTACTTTTATAATTTCAATGATGTTGACTTACTGTCACTCTTAATTATATTTTTCTGTAGAACAATTTATTGAAACCGAAACAGCCACCAGGGCCTATGTAGGAAAAGACAAATTATTCCAGAGTCTGTAATATGAGTGAATTATTCTCAGTATATAGTGGATCATAAGGATGATTAGAATAGAAAGAAGTTAGAGGATTTTCCTGTACCTCCCAAAAAACACATCAATGATACACTTTCATTGTTTTAAATAAATTTTGATAACATTGGACTCACCAATATTTAAATGCAAATAAAAAATGTAAAAATAAGGCCACAGATGCTCTAAGACCATGGTTTATTTGCCACCTTGCTTTATCTCTTTTCACTCATTTTATGTTTTGTTAACAGTTAAGAATTGACTAGATTTTTAGAACCTTACCTTTTAGCTGCATAAATGTAACAAAACCCAAAAGGGCTGTTATGTCATTTAACCGAGGTAAAATTTGGGAACCAGCTATTTTGCATATCCCATAGAAAATATCTGAGACAATAATGATGTAGTATAGAATGGTATTTGGTATTTCACTCATGTGTTTGTTATGTGTATATGAGTGTTTTGTGTGTATATATATACACATATATATGTATATATATGAGAAAGAGAGAAACAATAGTTTTCATTTCAAAAAATTAGCAGAAGTACTCTAAAAAGAGTTAAGGGGGTAGGTACTATAATGACAGAGGTTATCACGTTGTTTACTTGATAGAGGAAAATTAATTTCAAACTTTCAAAACCCATACCGAATATAAATTATGTTATTGGAAATGTTAGGACAAATTAAGTATCTGGTTGATTATTGGTACTCTAGGCCGTTCATATCTTTGATACAACTTCACTACATAGAAAATCAAGGCCAATGCTTCATGCTTTTTCTCCTAATTTAATTAATAGTAGGAGTGAGGGATTGGAATGTGCTTTCAGAATACGCATTAGTTCCTTTTGCTACCTTAGCAAGTTATTTAATAGAAGCCTTGTGTATATTTGCAGTTTCAAGTATGTGTGCTGATGAAAACTCACGTGCCGCATTGATACTAATGGCCACATTCTACCCCCTTGAACATAGAGAATGCATATGGTAGTTCATCTTAACTAAACCTAAGAGCTCTTTGTAAAATACCTTAAACTTTCCAAAACCTGAAAAGCAGTTTGGGCAGCTCGAATGCACTTGTATTCCTGATGGCAGATGACTTTAATCCCTAGTTTTCCCCAAGCATTAGTCAGTCATTCTTATATGTCCTTTCCTGGGACTTCCAAAAATCATTTTCTAAAAAGCCACATGAACTACTGTGATTATGTCACCAGACACTATTTAGATAATTCCTCAGATTTTATTCAGGTAGTTTCAGTTGCTGTCTTGCCATTCTGTTTCTGCCCCTATGTCATGTCAATTATTAGATTTTTAATAACGTAGCAGAAAATGAGGTGTTGCCTTCGGCTGCTTAAGGGTCTCTTTCCATGACTGTAGGAAATGAACATTGAAATGATAATCTCCTGAAGGCTCTGGCTTATGGGAAGAGAGTTATTTGTTATTTTGTGTAGCTTTGAAGTTGACACTAGTATGACTATGTTGCTTTTGAACCACATGAGAGAAAGTAATTTAATGTTCTAGGATGTAAATACCGCAGCTCGCAAAGATTGATTGAAGTGAATGAGAAGTTCAGGTGTTGACATTAGTGTGCAGTGGAAGGGAAGTCTGAGTTTTCTTTTTTGAGAATTAAGTTAAATGCCTGTCATTTCCTATAGTGTGTGTGTGTGTGTGTTTTACATCATGGACCCACAAAGAGGCCATACCTCCCATTTAAACCTTCTGTCCTAGACAGAAATCCATGCACACTCGTGTACATGTTTTAGGTATGCAGACCAGAGAATGTGAAGGGAGTAATGTCCTCTGCGGGCTGGAAATGATTGCTTTACCACAGGAATTCCTTCTCAATGGAATTGCTTTACTGCAGGGAAAACAGAGATGGGCAAACTGCAGTGGTCTGTGCATGTGTGGATGGACCATTCTCACACCTAACCAAGCAATGTTTGCTTTTCCTCCTCCTTTCTTCCCATCACTAGTTGCCATGTACCGAGAACCATCTTTGCATGATGTTGGGGAAACGGTCCCGAAGCCTGGGGTGACGCCAAGTAAAAGCACAAGTGCGTCTGCAATAATGAATGGAGGCAAACCAGTCAACAAGAGTAAGACAACATAGCCAGATCCTCACAGGTGTTGTGACTTATTCGTCCTGAGCACAGTTGAGTGATTTATCCTCACCAGACATTCCTGCTCCGTGGCTAAAGAGCAGCAGGAAGTAAGCTAATGCTTACTCTTTGCTGTCTCCGAACTTCTCTGTTGCAAGTGGATAAATCTCAACCTGTTGCGCCCCCCACAACAAGAAGACACCTGGATAACCAGCTAAACTCAGACCATGGAATGCCCTACCAGATATGGAATGCCTTTTTAATATCTTTTCTGTGACTGTGACACTTCATGTGAATGACATACTTCACAAGTACACTCGATACCTTGCCTGCTGACAGCTACCCATAATCCTTTTTGAGTCCTGTTTCAGCGAAATCTATGTGTTTAAGTTCAATTTTGTAGCACACAAATAATATTGAGTAATTTCTAGTTAGACGCTGTAAACCTGTGCTATTATGGATTTCTCTTCTTCCCATTTTTACAGGGCTGCTCGCTCCACTGTCTGTGACCTTTTGCAGGGATTTTGTTCCTCTAAATCTTAAATGTTGCCGTTGGCTTAGGTCGGAGAGCAATCAGGGAATCAGGAAGCCTTCTAAACCTATTATTACAAATTGCATCTATAAAGATTAAGATTGTTGTCTCTGGCTCACACTATGGATTAAACACACATATACGCTCTGTTCAGTAGCAGATACTGTGCTCCCAAGGTCAGCATTGCCTGGGTGGGAAAATGGCTCAAACACAATCCAGGGAAGCTCTCTATGATATGTGTTTGACATCCCCCTCTAGTTTCTTTGTGTGTGTGTGTGTTTTATACATATCACAAGCTTACTGGTAATGGTAACATTTGCCTTGCCCAGCGAGCAAGACCCACTGGTTTTTGAGAAAGTGGGTCCAAAGATTTCTGTAGGCCTTGTAGGCCTGATTAAGGTTCATTTTTCATCTATTAATTCTCATTATTTGGAAAAAAAAACAAAAAAAAAGGAAAACCAATCATTACAACCTACAAGAATTGCGCTACCTAAATCCATTTCAGATATACTCCGTCCTGTTTTTAATGAACCCAACTTAACGCCATCCCCGTTTCTGGCTGCGTTCCCCTCATACTCAGCAGAGCATGGGCAAGACGGCTGTTGTGTTCTTTCCTGCAGCAGCAATGCAAACGTTAGTTATAAATTAGACTTTAATATTTTTGGTGTTTAATGACACGTTTTTAAACTGGACATATTAGGAAAAATATTTTTTTTAGCTCAGCATGCTGAGTCCGGTACTGTGTATTTCACCAGTACATGCCTCTAACTCAGCATTTGGGACTCCTGTTGCCCGGTGGCTGGGTTAGAGGTGCCTTGCCATGATCTCAGAATACAGTCTGTTGAATTATCCTAGATGAAAATAAAGGCAAACCAACACATCCATCCATCAGGATTTTGGTCCATTCCATTTATTTCCTTTTATTTTGCGTTCTTAATTTCCTTTTTAATTTAATACTGTTTGTTTGAACTCTGAGCTTAGGGAAGACAACTACCAAGAAAGGCCAGGAACAGTTGACTACACAGTGAAGATTCCATGCAAAATGTTCAATACTGGATCTAAAGGGGTTCATACTAAACTGTTTGGGAATATATTTGTTAACTCTGTGTACACCTAATAAAATTCAATGTTTTCTTCTCAGAAGAGTTCATTGAGACCAAACTGAACCTCATTTATTGAAAATTATATGTGGGATCAATGTACTGGCCTCTTGTTATTCTATGTGGGAGGATGACCCAGTCATCATTTTCCCCATCTGCACTGTATTTATTGGGAAATTATTTTGTCACTGCTTTCATAAATCTTCATGACAGCCCTTGCCCAGCATTAAAAAATTCTGGCCTGCTTAGCTGATTAAAGGTTTAGTATAAATTTAACTGTTTATGCTTATTTCATTTTCATATTGGATTCTACTTGAATAAATAAAAAGTTAGCAGAATGTTTGAGTAGATTTATTGTCAATGATGCTAAACTACAAATATAACAAAATGATTCCTTTGGTCATTTTTGATTTGGTGTTATGTCATTTTGAAGCCTATTGTTTTTTAACAGGATCAGTTAAAATAACTTCCATTAACCAATTATTTTCAGAAAACATATATCCCATAATATATGTGGCCAACTATGAGTAATAAACTTGTAATCCAATCAAATGGGCTTATAGACACTACTTACAGCAACACATCACACACACATACACACACACGCACACACACAGCAAACAGCCCCAGCTGTTTTTGTGACTGATAATCAGCCCTACTTGCTGGTTTCTTTGTCCCCTGCAAGTCTGTTTATTGGTTTAAATTAAGATAAGATTTATTTTTGTAAATGACTGAGATTTATGTAAATGTGTATCTCTGTTGTGTTTTATATACGGGGTGTCTATAAGGGCATTTATCCCTATGAAGGATGTCAAATACTTTCTTCTAATATATGTTTAGACATATTGCAGAGGGGTCCTTGTTATTTGTAACTGAGTTAGGTCATTTACTTTGTGTCTGGTCTCAGCTGTTGCATGGGAAGAGGACAGCACTGATGAGCTGCATGTAGTAGGTACCTGTGTATCAAGAACTGTTGGTATGTATTGCTAATTTGCATACAAAGAGTTTGTCTGCATTGTACAGTTTCTGTGTTTAATATCATTTGTTGTATTCACAAATACAACATATTGAATAAAATATTTATATGAAGGCATATTCAAAAACATCAAACAACTTTATGTAACAAAATGGCATTGCATTACCCACCACTATAGAGAAATGTCATGTAAATAAGTTGGTAAACTCAATTTCCCCCTTTACCATGCCAAAGAAAATTTTAGCTCTTTGATGATACCTCTCTTGCTATTTGTTTGGGATAAGACTTCACCATTTTTTCCCCTCAGAAATTAAGTTTGCTGTTATTAAGTAAGTGCAATCTGTCACTACTGATGTTCCGTATAGTAAATCTGATGGAATTCATTTGTATTTAAAGACCGTGTGTTTTGTACCTCCATGTGCATATGTCCATTGTATCAAGTCTCTATAATACTCCATTCCTTCTGCATGCATATCTGGTGTGGGAGGGTTATTTCTACTGATTTGTTATAGTCGCTGATTGCTTTGCCAGTCCGTCAACAATGCTCGGAAATGTCAATTGTTTTGATATTTCAAGTGACAACATTTTTGTTTTCTAACATAAGATTGCTTTTTAAAACATTTTGCTACCACTTTACTTGGAAAAATTAGAGAAGACATGCAAATTCTCCACCCTATGTAAAGAGCAAAATGGAACTGAGCATTATTTCATTACAAATCCTGAAGAATTTGGAGATTCCTGCTCTAAATGTTTGCTTGTCCTGAATGTTTTTGGGTAGGAGTGGCTTAAAGAGATACACAATGGGTCCAAAGGACTCCTGCTCCAGTTCTTCTAATAGTTTGCCTCTTGGGGAGCAAGCGGAGATTCTTTATCATACCTAGCCACTTGCTTAATGCTTTAAGCACTAAAAGTTATTTTTATCAGGATGAACAATATCAGATTTGGTTGTCTTTAAAAGCAAAAACCAAAAACTTCTTATTCTTTAAGTTAGACATGTATCACTTCATTTAAAATTATCCCCCTAATATTATATGGATCATTAATATTTGATACATAATCAAGAAGAGACCACATTGACTAACATTCAGTTGAGACGAAGATGAAAAAATAATTGAAATTTTTTTTTCCATTTTAGTTCAGAACAAGGCTATATTGAGGGAAAGCGATCGGGCTAAATCCTCAATATTTTTTTTCCAAAATGCAGGCATATCAAAATCCGGGATGTACATTGTCTTACTTTGAGGGAAATAGTAGTCATAGCTTAGGTTTCTTAGCCTACAATGTGACACATAGGGCCTTTCACTCTCTTGAATACGGAGTAGGGTTTCAAAGTGTTGACAGTTGAGTCTGCAAACTAAGCCTGAGTTATATTTTAGTTTTTTTTTTTCTTGGTTTTCACTAAGTCTAATTCCAATATCTACTGGCAGAGATTGTATTTGCATCTGAAGTACTGGAGGGCAGTACTTCCAAAGTGCTGTTGGAATCCAGATAAACTCAAGGAGCCCAGAAAGACAAGGGTATAATGGCTCTCCTCTCATGACTTAGCACTTTAGTTGACTTTTTTGAAAAAGGAATTGGGTAGAATACCTCAGTGATGATTTGCCAAACAAGCAGGGTTAGTGCCAACACCTTCTCTAAACTTGTTGCATCTCTTCCAATTGACATTAATCCCACAGCAGCTTCCTAAAAACAGGAAAAAGCCAATGAGATTTGCTTCTTTTCTCTCACCCATGACAAGTTTGTTCTTGCCCTGCTTGTTTCTAGGAGGGAGTTTCTATCGTAGAGTTGAAAAAGTACAAAATCATATTTAAAAAGGAAAGAGTCTACGTCTTTACATGTAACTATTTTGTTTTTTCCAATCTAAATTCAATCACTTCTTAACAGATATATTGGTGTTTGCATTGCTGGCATCAAAACCACACATACACACACAAACACACACATACACACAAAGAAACATAGGGGATAGAAATAAGTAAAAATAAAATATTTCTATTTTCAAAGAAAAAGCATTCCTTAGAGTTTAGGTACCATGAAACTTATGCTATAATACAGTTCCAGTACTATGGTTTCCAACTAAATGAACACTAGAACAGAGCTGACTATATTTTCATCTTTGAACTTTTAGTAGAGATGGAGTTTCACCATCTTGGCCAGGCTGGTCTTGAACTCCTGACCTCATGACACACCTGCCTTGGCCTCCCAAAGTGCTGGGATTACAGGCATGAGCCACCATGCCCGGCCTATTTTCATCTTTGTCCTAAATTTTAGATGAGTCACATTTTGAACTTTATGGTATGATAATTTCTCCAATATCTAAATTCTTTTTCTGAAAAAACAAATGCTGAGGACATTTTTGACACTCTTACATGAGACTATGAAAAAGAGCAGCACTTTTGTTGTAGTTGTTGTTGTTAATAAAAAGGATAATAACATACAGAGGATTATAAGAAAAATAAGACACACCTGAGGTTTTCTGATGAGCCGTAGAGAATCAAGGACAGTTCCAGTGGTGCTGAGGGTGACAAAGTACTGCCCAGCTGCTAGCCAAATCCACCCTTAATTTGTTTTTGTACGGCCTGGGAGCTCAGAAGGAATTTTTATTTTTTTACAGCTTTAAAGTATTAAACAGAAACCAACAAAGAAGAATATGAGACAGGGATGTATGTGGTCCATAAAGTTTAACTTTCTGGTCCTTGATGGGAGGACAACCGCTGTGGTAGGGAAATCCAAAGGTCATTTGTATTACGATAGCTAGATAAAATAATGAATTCCAATGTCTGTGCATCAGCAAATACGTCATCAAAATTGCTACGAAACAATAATAATAGGTTGTTTGCAGCTTAAAATGTTAAGGTAGTGAAGAGGAAAGAATATAACCTACATTATTTATTGACTACTTATATTTCCCTCATTTTACAAAAAAGATATATCAATTTACATAATAATAGAACTACAATATGGTTGCACTCCTTAATCTCAGGATAGAGATAACAATTTTATAAATCTATTACATTATGAGAACATTGTTAGGACTATAAAACTCAGCATCAGTTAAATGTTCTCTTAAAATAATTTTCAATATTAAATTTTTAAGTAACTCAGTGGATGCATATTTTCCTTATTTTTGGAAATTTGACTTATAAAGTTTAAGCCATGACTCTAGAATATTTACATCATTAAAATAAAATTTCCAAGTAAAAATTTTCATTTTAAAGTAATACGGAAATGATTTTGCTACATTATTCTAGGATTTTACAAAATAATTCACCTTTAGAAAAAAAGTGGTTTTTTTAGCTCTAAATAATTACAGGTTGCCTAAACTAATGTGTATAAGTAGATTTACCTGTAAATATGTAAGGGAAGTCCCAATTATTGTACACTTTCATAATTCAATGTGAATTTCATACAAAGCAAAGTTTCACCATAAAGAAAATAAACATTTTGTTCCTATCACTGAGTGAATATTTGTAATTTCTATTTAAGCCATTTCTAGATTTTTTTTTTTTTTTTTTGGTCCTTTGTGAGCTTCTGAGATTGGTGCCATTTTATCACAGTATTTCTCTTCTTGAATTCTTTGCATGACCTCAGGTTTCCAGTAAGTTATCCTTAGAAAAAAGAAAGTATTTTAAGGGAAATGGATGCATACTTCAGGCCCATTATATATGTAACTCAATATTGTCTTTTTAAAAGGCCACATTACCATGGAATAAATTAAAATAAAAAGTCAGATTTCTTGTACATATAACCCCTGCCCAGTTTTTAAAATGTGTTATCTTATTTCTAGAAATCTAAAATAGATCTCCCTAAATAACAATTCATTTTTAAATAAATTATCAGCAGGTATAAATATATACTGACACAGAGTATAAACAACTTCTGTCACTATTTATTTAAAATGTTAAATTGTACATTTTTCATAATTTTTTTAAGAGAATCTTCTTTGATGAGTTTAAAGTGAGAGTAGACAAATGACTTAGTGGCTAAATTATTTAATGTCAAATGACTTAAGGACCAGTTTTTGCCCTTGATCCAGCCCCAATCTGATATTCTACTTCCTGTGTGTTTGTCTTCATTGTCCCCATATTAAAATGTTGACTGATAAGGAATTCTGGAAAAATCTGATCGATTGATTAATGTGAATATGCATGTTTTCCTTAGATTCTAATATGGTCTTTCTTGTGTAAGAATGTGGATTTCTAATAGCCATATAATTCAATGTTTCTCAATGTGGGCGCCACTGACACATGGGGCTGGCTAACTCCTTGTTTGGGGGCTGTCCTGTGCACTGCAGGATGCTGAGCAGCATCCGTGGCCTCTACCCACCAAATGCCTATGACGTACTTCCCCACCCCACCCAGTGTGACAATCAAAGTTGTCTGTAGATGTTGCCAAATGTCTTTTGGGTGGAAAAATTGCTCTCGTTAGGAACCACTTATGTTAATTATGGAAGAAACATTTTTTTCTAGTGTTATTTGCATCTGAATTTGCATAACTCATTTCTAATAGGTACTCAGATTTCCTTCGTAATTCAGAAATAGAAAAATATACAATGGTCTTTTTAACCTGTCCTAGTGGTGATTATACAGGATTTCCTTTGCATTTAAATGTTCTAATGGCCTAGAAAAAACAAGAATCCAGACCTCTCTCGTGTAATTGTTAAGGATATTCTGAGCCAAGCCAGATTTCACATGCATTTCCATTCCATCCATCCCAGCATTCACAGTTTCCACAGCTACAGATTCCATTCCCTGCAATAAAATACACATGGGTATCATGATCATGATCAAAACGTGCCAAATTTAAACATGCTATTATAAATCACAAGTGTCCACAATGAAATCATTTCATTCATCCTTGGTAGATTTTCTTACTGTGCAATGATGTTATTACTACATTTTATTAAGCAGCTGTGAGACATCTAATCTTTCAAACAATTAGTGGCATTTATTTGGTGCCACCCTTTACCGACCAGATAGTAACCATCGTGTATCACTCCAACTAGGTGACAAATTTTGTTTCCCTTAGAGAGCAAGTTATGTCTGACTTATGAATAAATACTGAAAAACATAAAGCTCTTTGACATAACATGAGGCAGGCCAAGTAATCAGCAAAGAGAGTCTTATGTAGTAAGGATGGGCAGAAAGCAAGGGTCTAACTTAATGACACTCAGAGTCATCTTTTACCTTCAGCTAGAGCTGAGGAGGACAAGTATACATGTCTCTGTTTCCTCTGTAACTTGGCAAAACAAATGAATTTATAATCAATTATGAGGGACTCAATAAATTAGGATAGCAGTGGCTATGACACGGCTGAGCCCTCTTTATACCTCTCCCCCATACACACATCCAGTTCCCTAAAAGCAACCAACACATCAACTAGTGGTACTCAGATTCTGTTTAAAAGAATATTCCATTCCCTATACCATGTTCAAAGTAAAATGTGCCAAGAAAATTCTTTTCTGTGTTCAGTATATAACTAGATACATGTGAGTTTGAGGTGGGGAGGTTAATTTGTGGAAGTATTCCAAATAATCACAAAATTTAGCTTCATTCTCTTGTATTCTTCTACGCCCAGGAATAATGTGAGAGCTTTTTCCCAAATGCCCACTTTGCCTTTGGTAGATATGCCATATTCACAGTTGGCCCTGTTGGTCCGGCCACCTAAAGCATTGCATGATGAGTGTCCCTTCGCTCTATAACAAACTGTGGCACAGAGCAATTAGAAAAGGTTAATACTGCACCTGTACAAATGAGACCATCATGTTTGTCGCAGTCTCTGTCATCACAGTCACAGAATTCCCCAGAAATATACCATTCTTCAGCAGAACAAATGCACTTCCCACAATGACAAGAACCTGAAATTACAAAGGCTATTACTCGTCATCACTGTATAACTAAAGGTTTCCATCTCAAATACAATCTCGTTGACACACTGACAACAGGCTTCTAATAACCCATCATCCAAAGGTAAAAGTTTATTGAATGGCTGGTTTCTCAGAGGGGAGCTTTACTTACTGTAATTCATAAAGGTCACCCAGGAAAGCCTTCATTATGGATCTAGACAGTTGCAATTAGCCTTGAGCAAATGTCCCATGGCCCAGTGTGGTTGAAATGTCAATGAGAGCAGGATGGGGTTGATTCTTATAGATGGTCTTCCAAAAAAGTATTCAAAAATAGATTTTTCCCCCTGAATTGAATCATATTTTTAAAGTGCCTCTTCTTTAAAGGAATTGAATAGGGAATTGTATTAAATTAGGTTGCATTTCTAATGAAAACAACTACTAAAGTATTGTGCTTATGATTTTGGATTTTCGTTTACATGATTTTCTCGGAGTAGGAGCACACCTGCATATTGGGTGGCTAATTAAAGTGCTAAAAGTGCACACAATCACTCAGTACATTTGCCTCGTGAGACCGTATCCTCAGGACTGTCATAATCTAGGATAGCTCAAATTACTCCCAAAGTTCATCTTTTATGAGACTCTGGATTCAACTCTTTTTCCCTCCACCCATTTCTCCTCCTACCTAATTAAAACACTTCCTCTTTGGTTATTTAAAATATCTTTATTTACTGAGTAAAAAATTTTATTAAAGATATATTTAAAATAAAAGAAAATAAATAAGATGAAGGGTATCCAACACAGAAGTAAGTTCTCTCAGTGTAAACAGCTTTCCATGACAGGCTAAAAACCCTTACATGGAAAAACTGCCTCGACGACAACAGGAAAGACTTTACAATGAAAAAGAAACAAATAAAAAGGACTTCCTTTTCCTTCTGTTTCCTTGGGTTGGTTGTTCTTTCCAAACATGACTTCCCTTTACTAAAAGGTGGCTATCAGTAATTTTTTAAGTCAAAAGTCATGTTGAAAGATTGTGCAGTTGAAAAAAGTATTCTGACATATTTAACTGTAGAATTGGTAAGTTCAAAACACATTTAAAAGGGACAAGAATCAATCATTAGTGCTTCTTTTAAAACACAGTGATTAAAAATGAGTTAACAGCCTAGGTGATTAAAGTGATTATGGAAAAGGAGTTGTGGTCATCACAGATATCATGAAAGGATTCAGGTTCATGTGTCTCAACTACGTGATATTTCATATCAGGGAAACTGGTATATGCATTTTAGCTGCAAAACTCCCCAAAATCCAAATTAAATGTTTGCCATTTCTTGACACACTTCTCAAGGTAAGAGTGCAGTCAGAATTATTTATATTGTGACAATTGTGTTTTCATTTATTTTTAACTTCTTGAGTAGCTATGGCATAATTCTATTTAGTCTTGACTTGTTTTCCTGAGGGTCCAGGTTGACTTGCATGCTCTTGAGCAAAATATACACATTTTCTCAGTTTTAATAACTGACTGACATCCCGGTGGTTTCTCAGGACCCAGGAAGGTGCTCCTCCCAGGTCAGTCTGCAAGGGATGCTGGTTCCCTTGTGATCTCATCAAGGTGAGGAATTTTCTGATTTTAGAGATTTCTTTATCCTAATTTTAAAGACTTCATTTCACATTTCTAGGCATAAAAATGTGCAGCACTCTACTGCTTAACAAATGGATAGTGATATATCTGCCAACAAAGACCACATGGAGTACTTCATTGACTATCAGAGTCGTTTCCTCAGAAGGCACAATACTTAGTGTTTTATTTACATGAGTGGAGGAAGATTATTTCAAATATTTGACTGTTTTTAGTTGTTTCTAAAGTACTGTCTGATTTTATATGCCCATAATATTCATATATACACCAAGGATATCATTTTATATATGTCACAATTCATGAAAAGATCTTATATTTCATCTTCAAACTTATCCTCTGGCCCTGGAACTATTCTAATCACTGCTCTTGCTTCTGGAATGCTTAGCTTCATGCCCTAGTAAAGCATTTTCAGAAAACTGGTAAGCTCAGCTAAAGTTAATATGGCATATATGGATAGAGCATTTGATGAGTAAATTCCAGTTCTGAAAGTCTACTAGTCGCTGAAATACTTAGAATAAAAAATGAGGATTGATTTTGTATGTGTCATGAAACAGTAGCTTTTCTAGGTCAGCATTTTCCCAGCTGTGTTATTCTTTCCTGTTTGTCAATGCTCAATGCATCTTAGAGGTAGGAAATTCTTCTACTGCTTGTGAAACTAGAACTAGATAGCATATAGTAATAACACAGTGTGAATACTTATTAGGACCTATTATAGCACCTTCCTTGTAGAACGCTCTGTTTTCTTCCATAGTAGGGGTCAAATTGTGCCTCTCTTAAACGGGAAACACATAGGGAGAGGGCTCCATCAGACAGACGTAGACTGCATGACTATCAAGAGGGGAGAAATGGTTCAACTCAGCTGGCCAAGACCCACTCACACCCCCGAGACCCAGCCCAGCCAGAGAACAGCTGGCTGATCTTGGCAGGAGTTTTAGGGCAGATAGTTCATCACCACAGCACCACTAATCCATTCATTTTCTTTCTCAATATAAGGACCCTTAAGAATGTTCCCATCTGCCTTCTGTGCATTTTTGCTGGCTTCCTTCTCTGAGGAATCAGTCACATTTTCTCATGTGTCTTCAGGGCATCTTAGGACATAGAAAGGGGAAATAAATGAAATTTTACCTTCAAAGATGAGAATGGAAGAGAGAACAAAGGAAACTGCCCTGGACCTCACAGGCAATAAATAAACAGTTAACTGAAGACTTCACTCTGATTCAATCCACTCTTTTTAGTGATCTGCCTATCTGTGATGTATCTCCCTGCAAAAACTTTCATATACAGTAGTTTAAAAATAAGCTGTTTCTTCCTGCAGGTCTGACTGCACAGACATATTGAGCGAGGCAACTTGAACACCAGGCTGAGGCTGATTTTGTGAAGCATCTTTCACTCTTTCTCTTTCTGGGGATGTGGCACAGGTCACGGGTGGGTGAGTGAGTGTATATGCTGGACTTCTTTGGGTGATGTGGGACCCAAGAAGTATCACTGAGAGTTTAAGGAGACAATTAATGACGTGTTTACAGCCATTGTCGCACAACAGCATCTGTAAGAAGATTGGATGTGATTACCTGGATCTAGCTTGAAGTAATCAAGGCAAAGATAAAATTGTGTAGTCTGGGATCCAAATAAATAAATCCCCAAGTGAACAAAACAACCCACAATGGATTATATCATGTACTTTGCAAAGGTAGCTAAGCTTAGGGGAGACCCGGCACGGCACTAACCTCATCTCACTTGGTTATTCACAAAAACTATTTGAGTCTGAGGGCAAGGCACCTTTGTCCATTGCCCATTCCATTACTAATGTTGGACTTTCTTTTTCATTCAAGCCTGACAAAATGCTGCAACCTGACATCCCAGCAGGCAGTTTTCACTATTGTACTAACTACTCCATCTGTTATGAAGGTCACAACAATGTATCTTGTTTTAACTTTTTCTATGGAGTGATTTATTGTCTTGGCTATAAATTTGTAAAGAAATAAAACGCTATTTCTTCATCGTCTCCTGAGGTGATGGCTTTATTGACAGCTCATGGGAAGTGCACGTTTCAGCCTTTTGGTGGGTACAGGCCACCAAGTGATGTGCCATGGTGATCCTGTGCCCACTGCTCAGATCTGTCCCATAATCAAATAAAGAAGGACTCTGAATATCTTTTGTGACCATCAGGGTGAGGGACTTCTTCCATTGACAAATTTGAGAAAAGTTACAGAATATTTGGACAAGTCCATGAGATTGATCAAGAAATACATGGCCCCCGTCAAAAAATCAGAAACAGGTTTTTCTTTTCCATCACCACGTTAAAGCCCCTTAGTCTATTTCATGCATTACTTTTCCTGTGGTTCTCAGGGTGGGTTGTGGGGTGGTGCTCCCCACTGGAACCAGGAGTAACTACGGCATCCCCATTATCCTCTGTGCCTACCATACATCACAGTTCCTTGATCCTGGTTTTATCCCCTTTCTTCATCGATAATCCAACAATGATGTCTCCATAATAGGAGAAAAGAAGGGAGATCACGATCAGCTGCTGCCAAAAGTCCAAAGGCCCATCCACTAACATGAATGTCAAAATGTGCAGCCTTGGGGCAGCTTTCATATTTCCTTTTGAGTTTAAAGACTCCCAAACTCTCTATCCATTGAAGGATAAACAAATAGTTTAGACAAATATGCTTTCAACCCTTCATTGATCTCTGAATATATTGCCACCACCCAAAGCAAACAATTTGCAAAGGCATTAGCTAGAGAGACTCTTTGGCTTTGCTTTGTTTTGTTTTGAGGAAATGCCTTTAAGTCAATATTTAGTCATCCTATTTTTTTCTTTGTATTTTCTACATTTACGATGCTGAAAGATGAGAATCCTTCCTAGGGCTGTAATGACTTTCATAAGAATGTTTATTTCTTGAAAAGAAACAACTCTTGTTGCATGACCTTCAGTTTAGGAAATGGAAGACTGCTATTTGTTACCCTGGAGGGTATGGCTTTGTGTGTTTTTCCTGTACTCGCAGTTGGAAGCGTCTTAAGGACGACCCGCTTATGGACAGTGTTTATGATTCAATAGTGAGTGTAGTAAACACATAAACACAAACACTAGTTGACTTTTAAAATAAACAAATACAAATAAGCACACTAGTGTTTTAATACATATGGGTATCCTCATTCAGTAGAGAGCTTCTGCGAAAAGCTTCTATTCTTATCCCAATGACAATGCTATTACAGAAAACCAAGTCAAGAAGTATCTAAACTTAAGTGCTCTATGTCTGAAGCAATGCTCGGAGGAAAAATAAATCTGATTCAAAAAAACTATTCATTCTTGGTATCTTTTTATACACAGATCATTCCCTTCTGATCTGATAACATCTCTTTTATTCCCTTCTACTTCTCTCTTGCAGTTTAATTCTATCACTGCCTCCTTTTCTGCTTTTCTTCATTAATCTCCTTATCCCCAATTCTTCCCTTGTTTTCTTCCTTTTAACCTTTCTTTCTTTTTGGTTCTCCCAACACAGCTTGAATTCAAGGTAGGTGTTTCTAGGGGCTGAGGCCCCCTGAGAACAGAACTGGTGGAAGATTTGTTTGGGGCTTGAAATTAGATTGAATTAATGAGAGAACAAACAACGCACAAAGCGATTGCTTTAAACTCATTTTCCACCTGCCTGCTGTAATGGCATTAGGTTGAAGGCATGGCCTCCTTGCCTGAGCATTATAAACACAAGTGTTGAACACAGAATTCCTGGAAACCACGGACACTGTCATCTGTTGAAGTGAACATGTTTGCATTCATTTTCATCCCCCTTCTTGGCACCACAGATAGTCACAGCATCCATCCTCTTTGATGTCTGAAGTTCTGCCAAAAAGGCTCTTTCAACCTGATAGCATTGGTCTTGCGTACGAGGCAAAACAAAAGCTACTGTTTAGGGGACAGAGGGCACATCTTGCTTCAGAGACCTCCTTCCCTTATGTGTGTGGCAGCCTCACTGGTGTGGTTCTTTGGCAACAGGATTCAGTGTCTCTAGTACACTTCTGCTTTGCTGTCTTCTTCGGAAAGTTATTTACATGGTCATCCTGACCAGCAGAAGCATTTGAGGGTAAGTGAATCTTCAGCCAGAGCTGTGCCCTGTCTGAAAAAAAAGTGTGTCTGTTGTGTAAAGAGGATACTGAGCTGAAGAGAAGAGCTGGAAAGCCCCATAACTTCAGTTTCTTTGAAGCGCTGCTCCCCAGACATGAGGTTAGAATCTTTCAGGTTCCCTGTGTCTTCCCAGTCACTAGCAAAGAACACAATGACTTTCTAGATGATGCCATATGCACTACAATGGCAGGATTTTAAAGTCCCTTCAAGAATAGTATACAGAAACATCAAAATCAAGGTGTTCAAAATTTAATCTATTACTATTCTTTACTCAGGGTAAACCTCTTCCAATTTTTCTGTGTGTGTATGTGTGTGTATATGTGTGTGTGTGTGTGCGTGCGTGTGTGTGTGTGTGTAGGATGGGAGATGGGGAAGGCTTGCTTTTTCCTTGAATATGTTTCTGTGGCAAATGTTTTATTGGGTTAGTGGCTTCTCTTCAACCAACTTGTAGGTTATAACCATTTGGCAGGCTTTTGTTTTCTTTGTTTAATTATTACATATATATATACACATATATATATGTGTGTGTGTGTATATATATATGTGTTTGTGTGTGTGTGTGTATATATATATATATGTATTTTTTTTATTTTTGGAAATGGAGTCTTTCTCTGTCACCCAGGCTGGAGTGCAGTGGTGCGATCTTGGCTTACTGCAACCTCCCCCTCCTGGGTTTAAGCTCTTCCCCTGCCTCAGCCTCTCAAGTAACTGTAATTATAGGTGTGAGCCACAATGCCTGGCTAATTTTTTGTATTTTTTTAGTGAGTAGATTTTTGTATTTTTCACCATGTTGGCCAGGCTGGTCTAGAACTCCTGACCTCAAGTGATCCACCTGCCTTGGCCTCCCAAAGTGCTAGAATTACAGGCATGAGCCACGGTGCCCAGCTGAACAATCACCCATTTTCTTATATCAGGCTGCACATGTTCACTTGGAACAAATGGTGATTTTTAGGTCAAAGAAAATTCCTCAGACTTGTGGGATACTACCCTCCCCCATAGCTTTTCTTTCCTTTTTTAAAAATTAAACCAAATTAAACTAAATATTTAGTATCCTTTTGGTCTTCTCACACCTTTAATCCTCCCCTGATCCACATACAGCTAAATAATTGAGCCCCAGAAGTTCCCAAAGTCATACCTTTGGGCAGCTCAGATGCTAGTGGTTACTTTTCTGCAGTTCTGAGCGGTGTTGTTTCAGACAGGAGCCCAAAAATCATTCTTTTGCCTTTTCCCCCCTTTTTTGGGTCCATTTAGTACCCGGTATATTTTGTTGTCCTAATTTCTTCATAAAAGTATTAATTCTATTTCATTCAGCAATAACTTTGCATACAAGGATATTTTTGCATGAATCTTCTCACATGCATTTCATTTTCTTAGATCCAAAACTTCATTTGGTTAATCTTCAAGCTTCAAGTTGGGTACAGCAGAGGACATAGTGGTTTGCTTTCATGCAAAGTTCAGTCTGGGAAAGACAGTTGCTACATGCTGTTCTACAAATCACGTGTCAGAACAGGAATCGAGTCCAGGCTCCAGCAGAGACACTCACCCTTCCCCGAGCACAATATGCCATCTGCTGATTCACACAGATTCTTGCTTTGTTCTTCCGTCATGTTACACTTCCGTGGATGTTGGCAGAGCTTTCCAAACCATCCTCTCTCACAAATGCAGCGACCACAGGAACATGTGCCGTGGCCTGTGAAGCAACCACAGGGAGGGAGTGAGAGGAGAGGACGAGGAAACTACCAGCTGAAGCAGAGAGTTTTAAGAAAGAAATGTGTAAACCATAGGATCTCATTTCCCATCCAACACATTTTTCTTTATGCATAGTCAATTTGGCATGTAATTGTTTAAAAGAACTTACAACAGAGTTCTAGCTTAACACAATAAATTGAATGTAGCATAGGAGATGGACTTGAGGGAAAGAAATCTTGCAATAATTTAAAATGGAATTATACCACCCTTTCTTGATAGAAAATACTTCTTCATTTGCATTTTTATCAGTATGGAGTCTTAGTGCTATTCTTCATTGCACACACCATGGCACTCAGACCAATTTGCAAGGCTAGTCACATTACCACTGCTGGCAGTATTTATTGATTGTTCTCCTATTGCTTACTAACAAAACAAAAGGTTAACTTTCATACAAATGGCATTTGGCACTATATTACTTTATCTGTATACCTCTCTGCTTACTAATAACAACAGATAGAAGTGGAAGCTATGGTGTCTCTCTATTATTGCATAAAAGTTGACATCAGCTTGGATTCATGTTTGGCACATTTTTTCTGGTTTGGTTCCTGACATTGGTTCCTGGTTTTTAAGATGTTTATCTTTTGGTATACATGCAACATTCTATTTGTGACATCTATATAACAGGATGTACACCTGTTTACTTGCTTGCCACCAACATACCATTAGATTGCATGATACTCCATTTCAATTTCTTCCATTTCAGTTTCCACTCAACCCTTTATTCCTTTTCAAGTGCATTGCCTTACAACAGGGTATCTCTGAGTCAACTATCTGCCTAGCAAAGAGTTACTGAGTATCTGTTATGAACAGAGCATTGTGCTAGGCAATAGGGGATACAAAACCAAGCACCATGGACAAAGTGGTCCCTGCTCTTCTTCCAGGTACAGGTACGCTCATCATTCACACTGATAAGCCTCTCTGAAGCTGTTGACACCATTCTCTCCTGACCATTCGCTCTGGCAGGACCCTCAGGAAGGAACCTTGCTCCATCTGCTCACCCCCCCATTCAGCTCTGCACAGGAAGGATGAGTAACCAATGCTTAATGCTTTGGAATTAATTATTATAATTATTTTTTCTTTTATTTTACGAGCGATAGGATTTTAATTTCTACAGAAATCCCTCTAACAATTGAGTGGAGAATGAAATAGATGGCTGTGAGAATTGGGAGCATGTACCTGTGCAGATTGGTGGAGAAGCCCAGGTCCTGGCATGAGAAATATGGTAAAAAATGAGGTAGAGTAAATGGAGTGAAGGACACTTGGGAGAATGCAGATTGGCAGGAGGTGGTGAGTGACTGTGGTGAAAAGAAGGTTTCTGATCTCAGAGAGGTGAGCAGAAGACTCCTGGAGAGGGTTTCTTGGAAACTATTTTGTTTGGTTTTTGGTGTTTTTTTTTTTTTTTTTTTTTTTTTTTTTTAAATTAAATAAGGAGAGATTTTTTCCTTGGGTTATACCACATCCCTGCCTCACAGGTCATGCAACAAGTGCCTCCCGACAGCCAGAGAAGGTCTGGAAGAGAGGTTTTTTAATCCAGCAGATGTTGCTCCCCTGGAGAAAACCGGGATCCTGAAAGAAAGACAGGGTACTAGGAACTTCTGACATTCTTTTAAAGAATATTCTGGGAAAAACATCAGATACCAATGGGGGACTATTAAATTTGCAAGAAAAATATCGCTGCCATACCTTTAATGTGCACTCAGTCAGCAAGTGCTCTGGCACTTTCTAAGGCTGATGACTGTTCTTGTCACACAGGTTAGCAAAAAAGGAAAAAATAAAATAAATGAGGTAACTGGTCTTTTTCACCTAGCTTGATTTAAGTGCTAAGTAAAAACAAACAAAGAAACAAACAAAAAACCCCAAAACCGAAACCATTCAAGTTTAAAAGTAGCATGCATGTAAACATGTGATCGATAACTGGCTCAGCCTGAGGAGCTAAGGGAAATCTACGAAGTGAAAACCCACCATGCAGTGTGACTCGGCTTTGCAGAAGATGAAATAAAGATATAAATGGAGATAACACGTGGCGATGTTTTAAACTTATTCTCAATACAACCTTGAAGTTTGGTATTATCCCATTTTACAGTCAGGCAACTGAGCTTCAGAAAGATTAAGCCCTGTAATTTGCTTCTCAATCACATAGTTCAACCACACAGTATCGGAACTGACTCTAGTTCCTCTGATTCCAATGTCTACACTCTTCCCAAAGTGTTGCTTTGCCTCTATATTTCACTTTAGAAAGTGAGACATAGCAGGCTTTTCTTAATTCTTGTCTCTTTCAACCACCACATCATTTGAAGGTGTATATTTGATATTCACAGGCACTTTCTCCTTGCAAGTCTCTTCTCTATTGGCATGCCACAAAATTCTCTTTGCCTCATTCAACACTCCTCCTTTGTCTCTGTTTATTCTTCTACCTTTGTTTTGTTTTGTTTTTACTGAACCAATAAGTGCAGGTTTTCACCCATTGCTTATCTTTAATCATTTTTTTTAATCTCTCCATAATTTCTCTTTTGAAAAATCCATAAATTTTGGGCTTTCAGATAACCACCAAGACCACAGTGCTGTATCTCCAGCCCCTGATTTTCTCCCACATTCCCCTCTCATGATTCCACACTTTGTGTTCTATTAGCATCCCCACTTAATACCTCCCGAGCTACATAGGCAGGGTCCGACCCGCAGACCCTGGCAGAACGACAGACGAACAAATGCTCCCAGACACAGGTATCCAGTGAAAGAGTGGGCTAGGGGACCAGGCTGCTCACAGACACCAGACACCAGACACCAAGGAGGGTGCTAAAGAGTCAGCAGCCGTGGCCCTGACAAGCTGGCACTGCGGGCATTTATTCAGTATAGATTTAATGACAAAGGCTTTGAGTCAATACACTTGTGGGCAATTTACATGGTCACTCCCCTCCCTGGAGAGAGTAGTCCTGCACGCAGAGGATTAAAGGCCAGGTTCTAAGGCCTAAGTTAATTTAGATTAGTTTCACTGGATAAGAGAATCTGGCTGCCTTCAGCCAAATCCTTTTCCAAAACTTTTGTAAAACCTTCCGGCCTTCCAAGAAGGTTTTCATCTTCTACAATTTCTCCCACCACCCTGACCGACCGATCTCCTACATCCATATATGATTTTCTTTCCAAAAGCTGCTTTTCTTTTGTCTTTCTCATTTATTTTAATGTAACATCTATCCTTTCAATCAACCAGTTCATGATGTCTTGAGTCTTATTTGAATTTCCCTTACTGCACTCATCCAGTTCATGATATCTTGAGTCTTACTTGAATTTCCCTTACTGCCCTCATCCAGCGTGTTGTCAAGTCTTGTGGAAACCACCTCCAACATTCCCACTCACATCACCATCACAACGTCGGAGAAACTTTCCTGTCATATCTCTCCAATACTCTGGCTTGTAATTCCTACAGCACAACTTGATGCTCATCGCAGCCTTGATATCTAGTCCTGTATAACTCCCTGAAGCTCACGGCATACAGTTGACGTACTCTAGCCTTTGTTGTTTTAGCTTCTTGAAACACAGAGTCCCAAGCTACATTTCCAATCATATTCCTTCTGTTCTCTCTTTAACCAAACTGGCCATTCGTTGTTTCCTGCACATTTGTCATGGTTTTCTGACCTCATTTTTGCAGAGGTAGAAGTACCTTTCCCTTACTATACACATTCAGGTTCTGAGTAATTTTCAAAGCTTAACAAAAAGTGACTACCCTTCTGTGAAGATTTTCCTAATATCCCTAAGTGGGACTCATTGTCTCTCCTCTAAATTTCTATAATATCTTATTTTTTACCACCTGTGGAACTTTTTTGAATTCCATCTCATGGTATATAGTTATGCATCAGGAACTTTTTTGACTTCCATCTCATGGTATATAGTTATGCATCAAAGGAATCCACTACTCTACTATGAATTTTCTGAGTATTACTTCTGCCATCACCATAGTCTTATAGACACCAGAGTGCCTAATGCAATGCCTCAGACACAGCGGGTCTTCAAAAACTTGGAGGAGATCGAGATTGTCTTTTTCAAAACATCTTTCTCATTTTTACCCACAAACCAAACTGTAGAGTACAGCCAAGTTAGAAAATGAGTAGACAGCCCCTTAACAGCTATCTGCTCAATGAGTCATTGTTAAATTGAGTACATCTTGACTTCTCCATGAAAACCAAAGTCCACTTAAAGTCCAGATCTCCTGAAAGAGTTAAGTAAAAAGTTGTCCATCTTTGGAGACAGAGAATCTATTGTACGAGAAACCAAAAATAAAGAGAAAGAGAGCTTCTAGTACCAGCCCAATTGGACTATGAACTTCTCAAATGCTCATGTTTCTTACTGACCCTAGGTTGGTAGGAATTGTCAACAATTTGATGTAACTAAAATCATTTAATCTGTATTGCACAGAAAAATATTCTGTCTTTTTTTTGTTCTCTGTCTTCTTTTTTTCCAAATTTAATTAGTGCTATATGGAAAACGAAAATACATCTTATGAAAATTTATAGGATACAGCAAGAGTATTATTTGGAGAGAAATTTACAGTATGAATGCAATCAGAAGCAACAAAAAATATAAAATCAATGATGTATTCTTTCACTTTAAAACACTAAAGAAGAGCAATATAAAACTATATTGGTCATAAGAAAAGAAATACAATCAATTCCATGACAAATCAATACAACTGGAAATAGAAAATCAACAGAGCAAATCAATAAAACAAAAGTTGGTTATTTGAAAAGATCAATAAAATTGATAAATATTAGGCCAGGCTAAACAAGTAAAAAGAGAGAAGACACAAATGTTTAAAACGAAAAATAAAAGAGAGATCATTATATCTTACCTCATGGACATTAAAAGGATAACAATAGAATATTATAAACAATGATTTGTCCAAGAATCTGATAACCTGGATCATTTGGACCAATTCCATGAAAGACACAA